GATCATCTTTTCAGAACTCAACTAGAAGAAGAAAGAAGAGGAAAAAAAGAGTAATCTGATACAATTTGATGAACTTGACCTACACCTATGGATGCAGTTGCTCAAAAGAGGGAACAAATCTTTACAGTGAGGATCATTCCCACCCCCTTGATACACAGGGTAGACAGGGATGGGAAACTTGCACATTGGTTACCCAAAATGGGGGGCTACAAAGACAAGAAGTGACTGGCTTACAAGCTTTCAAGAAGGAGCCTAGATCCAGAGGGCATGGAGGAAAGTCGACTCTCCACCAAGTTGTGTCCAATCTGTCTGGGCAGGCTGATGAAAGGAGATGGGGATGGCACTAATGTGGCACAATAGTGAATAATTGCTATCAGGACGACTGTGAGGGTTGAAATGTAAAGGTAGACATTTTGTAGCAAAAGGAGGGGAGTGGTTGACTTTGCAGTCCAGGAGCGGAGGTCTTTAGGATCGTCAGGGGAGAAGAGCTGAGTGCGGGACCCTACCCAGAGAAGCAGTGATGCCAGAGAGGGAGGTAGAGATGATGAAGTAGAGTGATGGAACAGCTGGGGACTCTAGACCCAGAGAGCAAGAGGGGCTGCTTGCTGAAGACCCAGGGGCAGGCTTGCAGGGTATACCCTTTCAATGGTTGATGATGTATGGAGGAGATTGTAACCATGGCAATGAAACTATATACACTAGGATGAATGTAAAGCTAGTGTAAACTATCACATTATTCACAATAAAAAAAAATTTAAAAAGATAATCTTTAAGTTCTTTTTCATTGTATTAGCTGTTAGAAGAGATCATTGCAGAAATAAAGAATATTCTTATCCCTGCTTCATAAATATAATATTGCAATACAGATCTCTGCATAGTAAAAATGGAAACAATAATGCCTTAAATGTATGAGTATACAAAGTGAATAAATGTGGGCATACATTCATACTACATAAAGAAAATTTGTTCACTGGTGAATTCAAATTATCCTGGACAATTAACAGACAATTCCCAGGTATTTTTTTAAGGGTTCTAATGCTTTGGGGATAATCAACAAACTCCTTGCCAATTCTCAAGGAGAATTTCTAAGAGCAAATAAAATTCATAAATTGCTTTCACTATTTCATTTTAAGAATCATATGGGGGAGTCAAGAGAAAGGTTTTATTGCAGGTAAAACAATTTATTTTCATCTTTTGCCCACATTCAGAATATTTCAATATCATCTGCAAAATCACTCCAATATTTAATGCAAAGTAAATGCAAACTATTGTTTTTGATTAATTTGGCATGCATCATACTGCTCCATATTGTCTGACACAAGAATTTCTCTTCAGTTTTTCTTCATTTATTTTATAAAGAGTATGACTTTATAAAATAATAGTTAAGAAATCAGTGATAATAGAAAATGAAAAATAATTTGGTGCTGTCCATAGTTCTCCAACGCTGCTGTGATGAATTGGTTTCTTCCTCTTGTTTTCTGAATAATTAGTATTTATCAATGTAAACTTTTCAGCCTTTCATCATTACAACTAACCAAGATTTATATAGCTTTTACTGTGTCACTGAAGATATTTGCTTTCTTAATTGTAATATCTACTAATAATTCTGTATTTCTGACAAAGTAGTTATCAGAGGGTCATAAATAATGTAAGGAATGATTTATATGAGATAGTGTATTTCATGTGTAATTGTTTTATAAATCAATGATATTGTATTTTCTATTTGTTTGTTCACTCTTGATTGAGAGGCTACTGGTACTCCTATTTTCATTGTAATCAGTATCATTTCAAACTTTTAAATTATTTTACCTTAACCTGACATCCTCATCTTTCTTTGGTATATTGTTTTAAATATGTTGTTTATTAGGGATATGTATTTTAATTTAAACATATTTATGTCTATCTGCACTGTGTACTATATAATAGCACAGAATAGTAACTTGGACCCACTGTGCAAAAGGATTTAAAATAAAACCCAGGAATCTACGTATATCTCATTAGTGAATCTAGTGTCCATATACTAGATTGGTGAGCTTCCAGCCTCCTGGCCATATAAGGCTGGGGAAATCATTTGATCTGGCCCTGCCAAAGCAAGGGAAGTTCCAGACATCCCATTGTTGTTGTTGTTAAGTACCATCAAGTCATTCTGACTCATAGCGACCCTGTATAGGGTTTCCTAAGAGTGGTTGGTGAATTTGAACTGCTGACCTTGCAGTTCAAAGCTGTTATATTTGTC